CCCCCACTTTCAGTGAAAGGGGGGACAAATATGCAGAATTTTACAGATCAGATTTAGACGAGGAATGTACCGAAGTAAGCTTGTTATCACAGACTTTCAATGGAGACCGGTAGATGAATTATTATAGACAGTTGTTAAAGATTTTTTTTTTTTTACATGTATGATATATTACATTTTCGAATGTTTGTCCAGATATAACTACTGTGTTACGTCACCTGAGTATATAGCTTTATGGATTTATAAAGCTATTTCCTTATTGCCTTCTGCTACATGTATATGTGATCTTATGACACTATGATCTCGCCAAGTCTGGTCAACAACAAACTTAAACTTTAATATTAAACTCTCTGGGGAAACAAAAATTGGGAGGGATAAAAAGGTTTCCTTAATAACTGAATCAGTAGCAGTATACCATTTAAGGTATTTATAATTACTCACAGTGTAAATATGTAATATAATAAAATCCTCGGATATCCTATACTTTTTAAAGAGCAAACTACATAACTCACGGACGATTGTAAAAGAAGAGAAACATTTTATTCACTGAAATAAGTGGTCTGTAAAACTGAAATGGCACTACAATTGACACTGAATACAAATACAGCATCAGTTGATTGCTTATATAGTTTTCCCTTTCCTTTAAAAACAACAGAAAAATTCAGATAATTTTGTAAAGAAAAAATCTGGGAAAAATAGCTCGCTTTCTTTCCCAATATCCATGATTGAAGTCAACATTACCAATGAAAAATATTCATCTTCATAATGGAAAATCTATCAATAGCATATTTCTTTTTAATATTTAAGAAAGGTTTTCCAAATTATAATAATTTCTGTTTCAAATAATATAATATACATGTAATTCTTTTCTTTAAAAGTAGTCATGACAATGTATTCCTTTAAGGTGAGGATCGAGTTAAGGAGTTAAAGTGCTTACCGTATTTATAAAGTAAATATCAAATAATGGTACATGACAGATGTATTTATGAATTGAAAAAATGAATAGGCACTAAAAATTATTACCATAGCTAAGTCAATTAATTAGGAAAAAATGTATTACATGTACCATCATAGCTTAATCAACAGATTAGAAAAAAATAATGAACAGTATAGTTTGAAACCAGAAGTCTCTGTCGAGACTGTAGCTCTACTGGTTTATACTTAAAACAAAGGAAGAGAAAAGTAGCAGTTGGGACTTGAGACTTTAAATCAGCAATAAATAGAAAAATGATCCTTGCCACTCATCAAAATAAAAACCAATGCACAGAATAATGTATCTTAGTATAGTCTACTTGTGTGCCAAGTTATACTGAAATCAGACCAAAACTGCAGGAGGAGTAGCATTTTGAAAGAATTTCACAGAAATTTCTATTTTTAGTAACCATGGCAACATTGTTCATTGAAATCAAAAACCGATGCACTAATTTATGTATCTTAGTGTAGTCTACTTGTATGCCAAGTTATATCAAAATCAGACCAAAACTGTAGGATGAGTAGCATTTTGAAAGAATTTCACAGAAATTTCTATTTTTAGTAACCACGGCAACACCGTTTATCGAAATCAAAAACCGATGCACAGAATTATGTATCTTAGTGTAGTCTACTTGTGTGCCAAGTTATACTGAAATCGGACCAAATCTGTAGGAGGAGTAGCATTTTGAAAGAATTTCACAGAAATTTCTATTTTTAGTAACCAAGGCAACACCGTTCATCGAAATCAAAAACCAATGCACAGAATTATGTATCTTAGTGTAGTCTACTTGTGTGCCAAGTTATACTGAAATCCGACCAAATCTGTAGGAGGAGTAGCATTTTGAAAGAATTTCAAAGAAATTTCTATTTTTAGTAACCACGGCAACACCGTTCATCGAAATCAAAAACCGATGCACAGAATTATGTATTTTAGTGTAGTCTACTTGTGTGCCAAGTAATATTGAAATTGGACCAAAACTGTAGGAGGAGTAGCATTTTGAGAGAATTTCAAAGAAATTTCTATTTTTAGTAACCACGGCAACACCGTTCATCGAAATCAAAAACCGATGCACAAAATTATGTATCTTAGTGTAGTCTACTTTTGTGCCAAGTTATATTGAAATCAGACCAAATCTGTAGGAGGAGTAGCATTTTGAAAGAATTTCAAAGAAATTTCTATTTTTAGTAACCACGGCAACAACGTTCATCGAAATCAAAAACCGATGCACAGAATTATGTATTTTAGTGTAGTCTACTTGTGTGCCAAGTAATATTGAAATTGGACCAAAACTGTAGGAGGAGTAGCATTTTGAGAGAATTTCAAAGAAATTTCTATTTTTAGTAACCACGGCAACACCGTTCATCGAAATCAAAAACCGATGCACAAAATTATGTATCTTAGTGTAGTCTACTTTTGTGCCAAGTTATATTGAAATCAGACCAAAACTGTAGGAGGAGTAGCATTTTGAAAGAATTTCACAGAAATTTCTATTTTTAGTAACCACGGCAACACCGTTCATTGAAATCAAAAACCGATGCACAAAATTATGTATCTTAGTGTAGTCTACTTGTGTGCCAAGTTATATTGAAATCGGACCAAAACTGTAGGAGGAGTAGCATTTTGAAAAATTGTTTACAGACAGACAGACAGACGGACGGACGACGGACGCATTACTATCGCATAAGCTCTTCTGGTCTCTGACCAGTAGAGCTAAAAATGATATTATATAAAAGGAATTGACAGTGGGAATACTAGGTAGTAAAAGGAACAGTCATCATGAGTCATGTTTGCAGGAACATTTTGAAAATAAATAAATATAAAGCAATGACTAGAAACAGTTGTCTATATTGATCTTAGACAGTGACATCTGTCAGAGAGCCAGCAAGAAAAGAAAACAAAAGACTAAAGTACAGCATACTGCTTGTGTACACAACTTAAGTATAGCACACTGCTTGTGTACACAACTTAAGTACAGCACAATGCTTGTGTACATAACTTAAGTACAGCACAATGCTTGTGTACACAACTTAAGTATAGCACACTGCTTGTGCACACAACTTAAGTATAGCACACTCCTTGTGTACACAGCTTAAGTACAGCACACTGCTTGTGTACATGTCTACCGAACAACAGTGAAGAACACAATGATTATCACAACAACCAACAGACATACAGTTAAGTCAGAAAATGCACAGCAATTCAGACAACCTTATAAATCTTCTACATAATATATTCAAGATAAACTTAACGAGGCTGGGGGGTGGCAGCCATTTTCAGACTATTTCTATCTCCTTTAAAAGAACAGCTCCATATAAAGATATACAAAAATGATCAAAATTTAATAAACTAAAATTTATGAATTTTTTCTTTGTCAAATTAATGTTGACAGCTTATGATACCATATCTAAAAAAATAAGTTAAATCTGGTGGTTACTTTGTGGTTAAATTGTTGACCCCCTAGCCTCCTTAACTAAATTCAGTTCAGCACTTTACCACAATGAAACTGATCAAATACATTCTTTTAAGTCCCTCTCATATGATTACACATTATTCTCTTTTAATTCCAACCTTTGTCTGATATATGAAAAAAATATTGCATATCTTTATATACTGAGCAAACTTTTGAACAACCATGTTTACAACATATAGAACAGAAAGTTATCTCTGTAGTTATAGTTATTTCCCTGATGTCAAGAAAAGGACATATCAGTAGCATATTTATATTTCTCTGAGATTATAAAGATACACATACTAATAATTACTCTTTTTTAAGTATGGAAAAAATACAAATTCATTCCAACTATGACTTTACATGAAAAAAAGGACAAATATAAAGGTTTATTACAACAGAGGTCAACTTTTAGATACTCTAAAAATCAATTTCATCTCTGAGAGTTCCTTTTTTTAACTATTAAAAAAACAATGCCATCTCTTAGTATTAGTCAATTTTTTAGATACTCTAGCTAAGCAAGGTCATCTTTGTGTCCAATATCAAGAAACTCAAGAAAATAGAGCTTATCTATGTGGGTCTATTTTTAGATACTTAAAAAAAGCAAGGTCATCTGTGAAGGTCTATGTAAATTTTTTAGAAAAAGCAAGGTCATCGGTGAAGGTCTATATAAAACATTTTAGAAAAGCAAGGTCATCTCTGTACTAGAGATTCCTAAGTTAGTGAGAGGGAGCTCTACTCCGACCGCTAATTCTAAATAGTCCAGTGCCTCTTCTTCATCGCTTTGGATGATCAGTACATTTCTAACGCTGGAGAATATGTCTATCAAACTAATGTCCATCATCTGTCATAAATCAGGGAATCGGTTCGGATCTTCTCGGAAGTTTGGTGGAATCAAAAACATGGAATCGTCAATATCATCTCGCCATTCAAACGAGGTGAAGGTCACCTTAGCAGTCACTGTGGGAAACACTGGGATTTCTGGGAGGAAACAAAAAACATAATTCAACCGTCAACAAACATTCTTTCCATTCACAGGCATTTTATCTTTGCAGTGTTATTCCTGCACATCAATCTTTTCAAACTCATAGATTATTCGACAAATGGCAGAGTATTGTGAACTTAATTTATACCTATTTTTACAGGAAAACCATCAGGTAGTTTAGTTGTCATAAATTCTCGTAATTTCTGGAACTGTTTGAATGGGGCAATAACCTCCAATACATCCAGCAGTCTAATGAATAAAAAAGAAGGCATAAAAATTTGTAATCAGGTACTGATACCTGCAAGAGGGTCCATTAAATGGATCCAGTCAACATAAGTTGTAACACTATCCTACCTCTGGGGGATCATTATTTGATGTCATCAATATTTCCAACCACGAATTAATATTTTACAATTTTGTAGTTTTTTTTTTATATTGAAAATTCCAAACTGAATATATAAGGTAGCATGTACTAAAATGGTCAACTCTGATATTGACTAATATTCACCAAGAAAACCATATTACATTGGGTAAAAGATTACTGTATAGGGGATTAATTTCACAGGTTGTAATTTTCTCGTTTTTCTCTTATCTGACACGATCGCGGTTTCTTGATTTCGCAGAATTTGTATATAATAAAAGTTACCTCCCCTGTCTATATCCGTTTTATCAGCATTATGTCTTTATCTCACGAACAACAGGGTAGATTAATATAGAATTCTTAGATTTAATATAAATAATTGAAAATTGATTAAAACAAGTGCAGTTATTAAAAGTCCTTGACTAATAATGTCAAATTACTTTCCTATATGCTATTACGATGTACACCCCAAGTTCCTCAATACAACGTGGAGAAAAACCACTGGACGGTAATAAATGTGTTAATGAAGGACGACGAAAAAATATCCTTCCACATCTTATTAAGTTCGATAGTTATTTGAATGATATTTTAAAACCAAAATGTCGATAAACACTAATATGCACGATAATGCAGGTGGCAAATACACGTGGTAACATTAGTTACGCACGGGTAATCAAAACCCATGGCCAACGTGTTTTGATTGAAGAAACATGTAGCGTTGGCCATTAAAACAGCTTTTTAATAAATACAGGTTATTATCTTTCGATTAATATATAAACCTATCGTAGTCTATTCTCAAATTTCAAAATAAAACATGGATATTATTGAAAATTTTTTCACTGTTTCTTGAATTCACGGATCTATTAACACCATGAATATAGCGAATATTAACACCGCGAGTTATTTTCCCCCTATACAGTACTATGGCTATAACCACTGGTGCCCTAACCATAATAAATGTACAGCTGTATTATATAGAGAATAAGACCGTCTTTAAAATAATGTTTACTTGCACTCTCCTGACTCAGGGTAAAATTACTGGGTCAGTAGGAAAGTGAGATAATCTTTTTACTAGAAAATTTTAACATATTTGTTGATAGGATAGGAGGGAAAAAAATTATCATGTCCTGGAATGTAAAAAAAAAAAATTGAGTTGGGACATTTTTAGTCAGTCAGTCTGGAGAGGCAGCCAAACAACTTTTTACAGATGGCCTAATCGAAAATACTTTGTACTTATAAATGAATGCCATAAAATGGCATAAATTCAGTAAATGAAATACTCACACTTCAATAGACATTGGAAAGTTCTTGCTCTAAAAATAACAACAGTATAAATTATGAAATTAACAATATATATATATATAATACCTTATAATTTCATGTGATAAATATAAGAGAAAAATAATTTGAATACCATTGCGACAGTGGCCTTGAATGACTTTGTGCTTCCCTTAGCTGTCCAGGGTCGCCCTAGACATGGAGGGTTTCCTGGAGTCTCCGAGATGTACTCATCCCACGTTACACTAGTTTCCTCGGGGGGAGGCAGGGAGGGGCGTCTCTGAAACTATCATCACAAAAGCATTATCAACTAAGTACTCACACAATAATGCCTTTTTCCAACAATATATACTCAGCGTTCCCGAAACGCACAGGTCCACCGGGGATCCCCGGTAAACTTTGAATTGGACCGGTAAAATCTTAATTTTATCGGTCAAAATGTCCGATGTTTTTTTTTATAGGCTGTATAAAAGTTACACATAATCTTAACAAAATCAATTAATTCAATTGTCCTGACAATAAACAAATTCAAAACTAAAGGAAATTAAAAAAAAAAAACGTCAGGGGCGCGCCAGATTATTTTCGTGCATTCTTGTTTAAATAAAATGTAGACCGTGATTATCTACTATAAAAAGCTACATATTAAAATAATAATCTCCATAAGACTGGGAGGAAAAACAGTTAAAACACTGTCTAACAAATATTTTTCCCTCTTAATAAATATATGCAGTCTGTAGTTCTTACAGTAAAAAATGTCACAATCTACTTTCGTTTTGCAGGACGAATTTGCAGGGTTGCAAGAGCTGCCTGCTATTTCTGCTTGATTACAGACAATTTGTTACCATTAATTATTTTCTCCATAATTTAATCTATTAGCATGATTAATATTTTACCAACTTTTTAATTTTTTTCCATGTATTTAATAGCATTTAAAATACATGCGCGTTTTTCCCCTTTTCTAAAAATAGCGGGCTGACTCTAATGTAATAAAACGACAACAAATTCACTTAAAATCATCATTTTCATGATAAATTTGCATATCTCTATATCATTAGTACATATTTTTAACTGTGTGGAGGTTGTATAATACGTTTTAACTAATCAGAAATATCTGACGTTTTCCAGGCTTTTTAAAACGATTTTGATATTTTACATAATATTTTTCCTGGCACATAAAATACCAAAATCCTACAAAAAAGCCTGCAAAACAACAGACATTTCGGACTAATTCCAATCAATCAACCAAAAGTTGTCATGGTGCAGACTTTATTTAAAAGAAATAAAAAATCTGTCAGAAAGGACATAATAATTCAACACGATGAATTATATACACAGGCCTAATAGAAAATATTTCAATAAATCAAAAAAAAAAAAAAAATCTGCATTTGCCATCTTTTCATTTAAACATATTATTTATTATATCTACACAATTTCCAATCCTATAATATGTTAAATTTACATACAAAAAATTAATGTCCGGTAAATTTTACAACTGTCCGGTGAGTTTTGAATATTTACAGGACAATTGTCCGACATATTTTTGACTAGTTTCGGGAACTCTGTATACTATTATACACAATAATAATTGGAATATGCAGACCTTGAGTGAATGTTTTGAACCAGTTTTTCTAAGATTAGCTCAATAATACAGACGACAGATAACACCTTTAATATACCTCAAATTTTTTGTAGTTTCCATTGTAAAAATCATTCCAATTTCACATTAATTCCAGTAAATACCTCAGATTTATTCCTATTATGATTTACCTCACAGTTATTCCAGTTTCCTTTGGTCAAATTCTCCATCATAGCCTTGTTTTTCTGTACATCATCAGGACTTAGATGCTCCCGCCTAAAACAATAATACAGAAATGTAGTTTACATTAGATTATTTCATTCCTGAATGAGTAGTGCAGTGAAGTTTTAAACCCCACAACTGAACATGCCAAAAAAAGCTTTAGATTGCAGCCTCTGTACCTTTTTCTGGAATCCAGTATCAAACCATTAACTGCATAGAAATCAGCTTCGAATTCCCCCACCCTCTCCTGAAAATAGGAATGAGAGTAACTGATTCTTACACACCATAACAGCAACCAACAAATAACAATGAAAATTAGAACTAATCAGATCTCCCTCATCTAACTAATACAAGTGTTTTGCAGTACCATTGGTAGTGATGAAACGATTGTCGCCGACGATCGATTGTCGATCGTTTTTGGGTGTTCGATTCCGATTATCGATTACGTTTTTCTTTTTCATAATCGATTGTCGCCCAAATAAACTCGCCCAAATAAACTTGTATGATTTTGAACGAAACTAATACACGTACAAATTAACAATACATGTAAAACGAAAGGAGGTCAACAAAAATGGCGTCCGAAGGCGAAGTTAACAACAATCAAGTAGAAATTTACCCATATCCAGGGAATGCATAGATAGAACATTCTATCGTTAAAATGATATTTTCCTACGGACCCAGTTTAACGATAGAATTCGTTCCGTGTTTTCGTAATATAGCAAAAGAAACAATCTAGAGAGTTGTAAACATGTAAACATGGCAGGTAAATTTGAAGCGAGAGAAAAACGTTGAGAACATTCATTTGATTTTCGTCTTTATATGGATTATTTTTTGGATAAAATGCATAAGCAATCTCCAAAAGGATTGTTTTGATTTATTTGGAAGTTATTTCCAGTGCAAATCCTTTTATATTCTTCAAAATCGTGTCGGAGCGTAATCGCTCCGATTTGCTACATTGCAAGTATATGGGACGTAATCTAACTGTGGTGAGGGCTTGTACCGAGACACAGTTAGGTTATTCTAACTAGGGAATGCAAAATCTGATGTCATGACAAACATTTTTAGTTTTATAAGCAAATATGTAAAAATTTCTGTTTCTTTGTTACTTATACAACAAAAAAGTTGTCTTTAGAATAAACTTGATAAAATTTTATTTTTAGTTTGTTCCATAAATGATAAATGCTGTAAAGAAATAGAATTTTGTATTTGAAATTTGAATTACTAATTAAGTCGATGATTGATCGATTAAGCTTCTCCGATTTCGATCGATTATCGATTATGAAATTTTCCCGATTATTCAACACTAACCATTGGGAGGTAACTGTCTTTCTCATTTGTTATTTGCAACCGTTAAAACTGATTTAATTGTCGCAAACTGAGTCTTACCAGCAATTCATTAACAAAGCCAGTAAAACAGATTTTTGCGACTGTTAAATCAGCATTAATAGTCACAAATAATGAGAAGACAGTTATTCCTATTCAAATGCAAACAATGAATTTTGTTTGATGTTGACATCTAATTTTGTTTTGAGCACAAGTGTTCTCTCAGTGTGTCCTTCATAGTAAATAAGTGTACTCACTGTTTTGTCTTCCCTGAAGAGCCAGCCACTCTGGGCTCTGGAGAACGTGATTCTCTTGGTGGACATCTGTGCAGCCATGATGTCACTGCTCATCAGTATATCCACCTCATCTTCTAGTTCCTGTTCAGACTCCTATCAGAGTATAAAAATATACATGTACATGTAATAAGTTGTCACTGTTAGATTATGTTGCCTATGATCTAATTTTCTAATATACATTATATACACATACATGTAATTAGTTGCCAGTATCAGTTTACATTACCCTTAATCCAAAAATAATGTAATCTAGATATGATTTTTTGATATTCATCTACAGTCAAATACAGTTATCTTGAACTGGGCAAGACAAAGCTTTAAGATATCCGAGGATTTGAGATATCATCATATCAATAGTAAAGCTCTTACTGAATAAGTGATTGGGACTTCTAAATCATATGACATATCCATGATAATCATAATAATTTACATATTGGTGTTTGAGATACTGAAGTTCAATTTTATTTATTTTCCTTCTTAGGGCTATTCCAGAAAAAAATGTATGGGGGGGGTTGGAAGGCACTTTTATTTTTACCCCACCACCCATACATTTTTAATTGCTTTCTCCCCCACCGCCCATCAAATTAAAAATGCTTTTAATACAACCACCCATCTAAATTTAAAATAATTGTTTAAAGAATTGTGTTTTAAGTTATTTATATGTAAGATAAAATTTTATGTACCAGTACTTTTTTGAAGCATTTGCACTTTAATATGCAACTTGAACTGAGTGTTCGCATTTGGAATGTATCCAAACGATGGACTCAATTAAAAAGAA